GACTTGGTGCTTTTTTTACCTTTTTTTAAAAGGTAAGTTTTTTACGTTCTTTACAACGTCACCATAAAATCAAATTAAAGAAGTGTACCTACCATTTTTCGGAAGACTCCGCAGCATGACGCTCGTATTTTTGAGATAAATTACAGACTCGTCCCGCGGCATGAGAATCTGATACTCCACGTTCTGCGGTGCACTGGAGTCGTTCCGAAGGGTCCTAAGGCCGATTAATTTGATCTCGCCGTATCGAGCCGAGTGCGGAAACTTTAGAATGAGGTTCGATTGCGGGAAGTAAAGTCCTGAAACAAAGATAGAAAATACATTTCTCACGGATGACCTCTCCATCCGATTTTTCAGATTGCGCCTTAGGCTGACTTATATCGGATATCGTTCCCGAAAGTTGTCGCGCCGCAGCACAATGGCTCCTCGCTCGTAAATCCTCCGCGAAACGAACTCAATGGCTTGTCGGAAGCGTAGGAGGGCACGGCCGAATTCGGGAAACGAATGGTAGTAATGGGTATGTATACAATATACAGTGGTGTGGAGTAACTCCAGTTTCGCCGATTTTGCTGACGATTTCACGCACACGTCTCGGAGTTGCTCGGTACACGGAAACGTCACGTACAGCTTGCGGCTGTTTGCCGTCGTTGCTAAAAGTTGACAGGTGCAGCGCGAAAACATCGACAAGAGGAAAGAAAAGAACAATGAGAACGGTGGTTTCTATTATATTTTCTTATTAGTGCGATGTTATAACGATTTTATTCTGTTTCTTCAAGAGCTATATTTGCAAGATTTTTTTCAATCCGACGAACAGATAGCGAATCGAAAAGAATATTTCCCAGCAACTTATTGTACAAATATTTGCACCATTTCTTGTACGTGTGCGACCGAGGGCGTTTCAGATTAAAAGAGTGCAAGGAAAATATGAGATTAAACTCTATCGTCGAATGGAAATTCAATAGTGTTGCGAAAGCTCGCTTAATGTTTAAATAACCGAGACCTCCGTTTATCAGAATCTGAGGACTCAATTGCGCTTTTGTGTGGAGAAAAGAAGAGGAGGGAGAAAGAAAGGAAGGGAATCGCAGAAAAGTCTATCTTTCCAATGTATATTTTATAATAAGTAAGAGAATTTGGATTTTTGTCGAAATAGCTTTCCGCGTTTTCGTTTGAAACAGCGTTTCTCAAACTTTTTTGCCCGCGACTCTCCAAAACGAAAAAAATTAAATTAACACTTTGCAGCTCCCGTGTAAAAATCCCATAGAACAAAGCGCGGTTATTTCGTATGTTAGATAAAAAAAATTTGCACAAAAAGTTTTTTTAATTATTATTTCGCGACCCCTCTAAAATGTTACCGCGACCCCCCTGGGGATCGCAAACCCCATACAAAGCCATTTTTTAAATTTACCATAAAAATCGTGTAATCGTGGGACAATATGGCATTTCGAAGAACTGCATGAGTTTTGTGAAATTTTACTATACAGTAAAATGCATTTTACTTGCATTTTATTGGCAAAATGTATGGTAAAATTTGAAAAACCTCTCATAAAATTTTTCGAAACGCCACATTGTCCCACGAGTTGCATTTTAAGAAGCAATTCTCTCCGTGCATTTTGAGAAACACTGGTATGAAATATTATTAATTTCGCGGAAGTAGAAAGAAGATCGACCGAATATCTTCTCGTACTCGTGATACCGTAAAAATTCCTTTTGCGAGCTTTTCCGACACAAGGACTCCAGTATGTGCACGCAGGACCTGCATTTCTGAATGGCTGAAACGTGTTCAGCCGCAAAAATGTGCTTCGCTGAATAAAATATTAGGCCGCGAGACAGTCTAAAGGCCGTCTGGCGTAAGACATATACGTTACGATACGTATGTCGAAGCCGATCGTCTGGCGGTCTCTACGTTTGAGTTTGCGTCGAACACGCTCTTGAGATCGTCGCCGCCACGTCCGGCGAATAAATTATATCGCGAGAGGCGACTTTTCCTCTCGCTCTTCCTGTATACGTTATAAATTATATGGCGATAAGCTCCCGCGAGAAACACAGAAAATTCTTTCTACCGCGCACGCAATTTCAGATCTGAGATACGCAAAAGTGTAACAACGTGATAGAGGCTGTTTGTTTCGAAAGCGATGTAAGTCTAATCTCAGGGCAATATATATGTATACATAAATTTCACAGAAATGTAGATGGAACAAGAGTGTAATACGATGAATTTATTTTAGCGAAATTGAAACAACCCGCAAGCAGGAAGTTAAAATGTCTATATGTAAGTTTCATGTAAAATAACTTTGGAAATACAGACATGTTATTGCTGAAATATATAGAAAATTGTTTGGTCACAGTATTCATGCGAGAAGCTAGGAAAGTTATTCCGGCTCTGTGTCTTACGGTTGAGTGGGCTTCTCTTTATTCGACGAGCATTTCCAATTTCGACTGGAATGGACATTCGTCGATAGTCCATACACTCGAAGATAAGAGACTGTATCGACTCGATCGTGCCGGGGACGGCCGGGGAATATTTTGTCGCCCTTGTGAAACGATGATATTGCTCCCCTAAGTGCGACCGTCAAGGAGGATCGAGGGATTTACGAGATACTACAGCCGTTACATATTTATAACAATTTATACTGACAGGATTTTAGAATATTTTTTATATAAATAAGAATATAAGATACACGTGAGATATACGTGATAAAACATATTGTAGAAAGCAATATATTACTTTCTCATTTTATCGATTAATTTTCTCGATCTAAATTCTCTGCGTATATTAGAGGAAAGTCCCCTATTATGAGATAAGTTCCTAATATGAGACAGCGGGGTTTCCGTTAAATTAATAGACATTATCTATTGGTTCCACCATGAATTGATTGCCCTTTGAGTAAAATCTGGAAATCTTTAGTGGAAAATTGATCGTTAAATCATGCAATCGGTGCGACAAAAGATTTGCGATTGAATTCGGACGTTGAAAACCTACCATCTCACATTAGACTCTCATAATAGAGGACTTTTCTCTACATTTATTTAATATTACTAAATTTATGTTAAAATTGTATTTATGTGTTCTCTTTGTTAAATCTTCCTTTTTTTTATTTTACAAGCCTCACTTGTGCAAGAATTTTAACAGAAGATGTACGACAATTCAGATCTTTTTGAATCTATCTGTAAATTCCTTAATCTTCTATATTTATTAGTGTGAGAGAATCTGAAACATATATTGAACACAAGTTGTAATTAATCGAAGAGTTACCGAAGAATGGGCGCGATTCGAGTCGAACTCGACTTTTAACGCAAGTTCTCCCAAAGAGATTGCTGCGAGGTCGTGTTAAATGCCGAAACAACGATTCGATTCTCCGATGGACGGCGACATCTAATTTCGGTATTTGCGCGGGCAGGTTCAATGTCGAGAGAGGGAAACATTACCGAGGTTCTCTGCACCGGAACCTTCGCGTGTGACCATCGCTGTCGGCTCGGAGGAACGAACCTCCCGCTTGGTGTCAAGGTGAGCGTGCAATCAATATGCCGGAGCGGTTGTTAATTTTAATCCGTGGATCGCGTGTGCGGCCAGATACAGACGGAACGATTACGAGCACTTTTACAATCCGCCCTTCCTCCCACGCAAGTTCCTTGACACACACCACCCTCGAAAGATACAATATTTCTCAGACACACACGTACAACGGTCCCAAAACCATATCAATTTTAGTTATAGATTTGTTAAGAACTTGAAAAAGATTTTTTTCGATCTAGATATCTGAGTACTTAAGAATTTTTTAAATTAGAAATCATAATAAAAAGCATAAAGCTTTTTCGTAAATTAAACTACCGCGAAACAATTTAGTTGCTGGTATCATTACACATTTGTTACAAAATTGTGAAGAAGATTCACGTGAGTTTTTCAAAATTTTAGATTTTTCAGGCCTTTATACGATTTTATGTTTTAGAATTTCTTAAAGATATGAAACATTGTTTAAAATTTAGACATTCCGAAATGTGATTTTTTAAATATCTTGTTTCGTTTAATTGAAAGCTATTTTCCATAATAAATCAGCGATGAGTAATGGCCACGCTCTTGAAAAATTCTTTTCAAGCAATAGTTAATTTCTTGACACATGCTCATGCTTAGCACGTCTATCCAGATGCTAATTTGCTTTGTAAGCAAGTGTGTAAATTACCATATGTTTGTACACTGTCTTCTCCTTCCACTATATTATCGATGAGACATATTCAGCATGGGTCCTTAATTTGAATAATATATTCCTACCTCTCTCGTTGGAACGAGAACAATTAATTCTGCGACATGAAGGCAAAGAGCAATGTTCTGTGTTTCCCACATGGAACAGTTTCCCTGATTTGGAGAATGAAATTGATTGATTCTTCTTCCAAGATACAGACATAAATTTCAATGAAATTTGAGTGCCATTGCGAATTTTATCAGTATAAAGAATGCTGCCGAGTAACATTAGTATAAAGTTGTATAATCGAAAACGAAATATAAAAGAGTGAGATGTAAAATAATAATAGGTAAGAACGATAAAATTTCAAGGCGGTGGTAAACGTAATTTCTCCCAGCACTTTCATTTCAAGATACTCGCACGGATCTTGGATATTATACCACGCACTTTATCGCCGAATAAATCCCACTCTATCACGAAGCATGTACCTACGTTGCACATGCATTTAGGTACACCCGGCAGACCGTCTGTATCCTAGGTGCGATCGACCGTAGGGGAGTTCTTCGCGTGTTAAACGTCGCACGGAGCAGCGTTTGCATATTCAGGAGTGGATAACGTCGCCAAGACAGATACGTCTCACAGACGTCTCTTCCTCCTGTGTCTTTTCTGTAATTGAATTCTCGACATCGAATGTCAGGCAGCCTCGTTGAAATATTTGAGGACACCGTATTTACATATTTCAGAGATACCAACTTATTTGATAGGATACATATTGTACAATAAACTTATGTGTATACTTTTATTGTACAATATATATTTTTATTACACAAGAACAATTTAAATAAAGAAATAAAATTAATATTACAACCCGAGTCGAAGTTTTGGCCCTATGTTGAATTCTGTTATACAGTAGGACCTAAGACAGTACAAGAGATCGAACTGCAAGTAGAAAATTTACTCGTACATTAAAACTGATAGTGTCGGAAATTTTTACTTTAAACAATTTAACATTAAAGCAGGTCCTTTTAAGTAGGAGCGCATTATTTGAGATTTTTTCATTTAATTTTAATAAAGTGGGGAGGCCAGCTAGGCAGACGTGAAATTTTTAGTCAGTCATTCTC